TATATATATATATATATATATATATATATATATATATATATATATTTATATATATATATATATATATATATATATATATATTTATATACATTTTACCATGGATCATATTTACAATATACCATGTATTATATATACATTGTACCATGTATCATATATACATTGTACTATGGATCATATTTATATTGTGCTGGTTAAGACGGTCTATAATAATATACTTTTATGTATATTTAATTTGCATTATTTTTAGAATTTTTTAAGGTTTTCCATGATATACTGTGGGTTATGTAAAATTATATCAGATAACTGACCAACAAAATCAGTGACCGTTTCGTAAACAACATTATTTACCTTTATCTGACTGAAATATAAATATTAGGATTATTATCATTAGATTCTTCTAGATCAATGATCTTTTGACCTTCATTCAGGTTTTCGTTTTATGCCTTAGTCATTTTTTATATAAATCTTGTTTACTGGAAAATTAATCTTTTATGCAATAACATCTGTGCAGAATCAAGTTGTATTATTTTTGGACATTATTTTGATTTTGTGAATTTATATAATTCAAAGTATTCTTCTCTAGAAATACAAAGTGTTTAAAACTAATATTATTGGACATAAAGACTTTGATTTATAGTGAAATTCAAATAAGGATATATTCCTGGATTGTATTATTGTGATTCAACAAAAGACTGTTGGCACATCGCCATGCCACAGGCTATCACAGGCACCTTAATACCTCCAGCATTGGATTTATTTTAGAATATCAGTAAAGTTTATTCAGAACTTGAATCATTAGGACTTGCGTCGAAATTCTAGGAATATTTTGTATTTAATTTGCAATAACTTCTCTTTTTACATTTTTACTCTGTATTTTAGAGGGAAAAAAATGTTTGTTGAATTTTACATTTTTGGCTTTCACTCTTTTCTGTTACTGTAAGATATTACATATCATTATATTTATATTGCACCAGTATATGACTGGGTAAATCATATTTACATTGTATTTATTTATATTGTAGACCGTATATCACATTTACTCTGTACTTATTTATCTTATTAACACTCACTGGTATAGGAGAGGGTATATCATATTTACACTTTACTTGTACTGGAGACGGTATATCATATTCACACTGTACTTTTATTGTATATGGCATATAATATTTATACTATAATTGTATAGGAAATGATTAATCTTATTTACACTGTAGTTGTATTTGAAATGGTATATCATATTTACATTGTATTTGTATTGGAGATGGTATATCATATTTACATTGTATTTGTATTGGAGACTGTATATCATATTTACACTGTAGGAAATGGCATGTCATATTTACACTATACTTATATTGATGATGGTATAACATATTTACATCAAACTTGTATTTGAGATGGTATATCACATTTACATTGTATTTGTATAGGGTATATCATATTTGCACTCTGCTTTTATAGAAAATATCATATCATATTTACTTTTAGATTGGCGGGGGCGCCAGACAGATGCCTCCCTCCCCAGTTAACCAAAATAGAATATTGTTTTATGTGTTCATATATCACCCGTTTGAAGTGTCGTAAGTGTTTTTAATTTAGAAAAAGAATTTTAAAACCCAATTTAGAGTGGGGTATATTTATATCCCTAGTGTTTTTCTAAAATATGTGTTTCCCCTTTCTAATTTCAATTACCAGATTAGGAAACTCCATCTTTATACATTAAGTGACCTTTGCCAAAGGTCACTATGTCCTGTGTTTGCTGTCTGGGTCGTACTATATTATGTGTATACTATAGATTTATATGTAAGGACGGCAAATTGACCAAATGACCCTTTAGTTCTCCTATTAATGTATTGATTTTCATAAACCATGAGTGAGGGATTATTGTATTTACCTTTTTAAATTTAGAATTTTGTATAAGAAACGGTGCTGATAGTGAAGTAAAAATAAAGCCTAATGTTTCATATGTATGCTTTGTGATGTGTCGTTTTTACTTTACTTTTAAAATATGAGGCTGGTCATAAGGCTGGTTTTAAGAGGATGTCTCTTATTTCCCTGGCATGTTTTCCTCATCAATAACCAAGTCTTATTCCACTCATTCCAATGTTTAAAGCCAATATTAATAATTTTCAAAAAAAAAAAGTATTTAGATGTATAGATACTTTTTGGTGTTAGTCCCTACTTTTTCCATGGATTCCTTTTACTTGTTATCATCCCCCCCTTGTATTTGTGTACTGTTTGTCCATTGTGTACGATGGACTTTTCGTAGGCTCTTTCCCTGGCCTTCCCGCTTCGCGTAGCGCCCTGTGGTATAGCCCGGTGGCGTTTCTGTCTATATGTGCAAATCCCTGTCTGTCTCTTTAGCCTACTTGTAAAAATATTCGATATATCAGGAATTTACCACAAGAAAAAGAATTGTTTAATATTATATTAGTATATCGGATTCCATGTAGATAAGTTGATTAGTACAAACTTTTTTAAATGAATTTTCCCAGAAAAATAATATCCATTCCTTCGAAAAAATTTAAATTTAAATTTTGACTTTAGATCTAAAATTGGAAGCGACATGTTATTTGCGAATAACTATAACCTGTCCACTTTCCTCCTAGTATCAATTATGTTATTTATTAGATAAAAACGGTTTTCTTTCCAAATTTTGCCTCCAAATATAAAATTTTATATCTCTGGAATATATCAGATTCAGATGATTTTTTTCCCTTTCTCCTTTTTTTACTATTACATTCAACCATTACATGAATTTTGCTAAAATTACTTTTTTTACATAGGGGGCATTTTGTCATAATTTTAATCAATTCTTTCTGTTTTTCAACCTCCCCAGTCAACCAAACAATGTTAAAATATTTAAAAATGATACTTTTTTTATTTTTATTGATTTAATTTTCGACCAATTTCTCCACGACTTTGATCAGTTCGCCCCACAATTTTCCCTTTCTCCGTTACATCCATGACACTTAGTGGCGTATGTGCCCAAATAGCAATGCATGTATTTAGTTTATCTTTAATACTTTGTAAGTTTTCTTTTTCCTCATTTTTCCCAAAGTAAATATCGAGGGCTTTGACCCTCTCTTTTATTAAGCTGAGGTGGGAGGGCCCAGGGTGGTTCTCTCTTCAGTTTCCTATTTTTAATATTTCTGTTTTGTCATGGCTAATTTTTACCAAGAGGCTTTGCCGAAATTTTTATATTCTTTTTCTATGTGTTAAAAAGAATTCGGGTCTTTCATAAAATTGGTACAATCATTAGCGTGTTGGAGCATTTAAAAATTTTTTTTCATATTTGGGATCCTAATTCCGTTTCTAAGTTTATTTTCACTTATTTTAATACTTAGTATTTCAATTGCTATTACATATAATAACATTGACAGGGGGCAGCCATGCTGTATTGACTACTTTATATCAAATTTTTCCGTGAAATGCACCATTTGCCTGTACTCTAGCAGTTATATCTCTACAGGATTTCAGTCCATTTTCTGAAATTTTCACCAAAGCCAAATTTTAAAAGTACTTTTTGTATAGAGTTTTGTTGAATTCGGTCCAAATCTTTCTCTTGATCCAGAGGTACCATGTCATCTCTTTGCCCAGTTTTTTTAATGAATTCTATTACTGTTTTGATATTTAAGATATTGTTTTGAATGTTATTTCCTTTAGCCCCTCACGTTTGATTTTTATTAATAATGGAATCCATACACTGTTTCACTCTATTTGCTAGTATTTTACTTAAGTTTTTATAGTCGTTATTAAGAAGGGAGAATGGGCCTCCAATTTTTAGATCCTATTTTCACCTTTTCCTTATACATCAAAGATATTAATCCCTTCCTCAATGAGTTGGTCATTTTATAATTTGTTTAATAGAATATTATTATACAAAGATTCAAATATCGGAGCTAAATCACGTTGGAATTTTCAATAAAATTCACCCGTGTGTCTATCTCATCATGATGCCTTTCCTTTGCCTAGGGAGTAAAAAGTCTTTAAAATTTCTTTTGCAAAAATAAAGCCATCACACAAGTCTTTATGTTCTGATGAAATTTGCTCACATTTGACATCGTTTAAATATGTTTATTAGATTATTATTTATATTTTGACTTTTATATAGGTCACTGTAAAAAATAAATATTATCTAGTCCAAAATTTTACCCTTTCATCAAATAAAGCAATAAGATTTTTTCTACCTAAATTCTTCGCTTTCTAAGAGACCCTTAGCTTTTGTATAAAATTCTGAAAATTTGCCTGCTCTAATCTCTGTAACCTTGTAACCTTTTTCCCCTTTCCCTATTTCCTCAGTTGCAAATACCCTCTTTATTTGTAGCTAAACGTCATAAATCAATTCTTCATCATCCAAAAGTCTGTTAATAATTTTCCAAGTTCCCTTATCCCATTTGTTTCTAAGTTTAGTTTTAATTTTGATTTCAATAAATTTGTGGTACGAAATTTTTAAAATGTTTTTTTTGCATCCTCGTATATTCCCTTGTTAAGAAAAGTTCCATAAAATCTGTCTAACCTAATTGCTAAGTCATTTTTATATTCATAAGTATACTCTGTACGAAATATATATATATATATATATATATATATATATATATATATATATATATATAAATAAATATATATATATATATATATATATATATATATATATATATATATATATATATATATATGTATATATATATATATATATATATATATATATATATATATATTCTAAAGTATGTTTTACATAATCTTAACATGTTTTTCCTAAAAATGTGATGTGATATGAATTGGATTTTTAACTTAGCTTCAGTCATATCGCTACGATGTCTGCAGTCTGGCAGTTTATTGTGATGTCTAGCACTGGGACATCATGACGCAGACATGTAGCATGACGTCCCATCCAGTCACATTATCCTGACACCAGGTCGACCAGTCCTAACAAAAACCTCTTAATGCCGAGCGGCAAGCGAAGCAGCTGTTAGTACTATTTGTATAAGTCTTTGGTATGACTCGGTCGGGGATGGAACCCACGACCTCCTGCACCCGATGCGGACGCTCTAACCACTAGGCCACCGTAGTGGTGTTTTCCTCTAAAGATAATATCATTGGAAGTTAGATCCCCCACCCTATCTATATTGTCACTCACTCAGTTAATGTCACCACCTATTACTAAATCCTCCATAGAATATTCTCTTAAATATTTGTCAAAGTTGTCAATAAATTCGAGGGTTTTTTAAATACTTATTCGCTAAGAAATATAGATTTAATATATTTGCTTTATTAATTCGAACATGAAGCATCCTCTCCTCAAAATGTGTTTTCCTTTCAATTTTGTCTCAATATAAATACTTTTTAATTTTAATTATTGTAGCTACTACCCCTTAACATCATTATTTATAAAATTACTTATTATAACTATTGCATCAAATTTTTCCTCCGTATAAGCTAAAATTTCTTTGGTGAAGCCATTATGCATTTCTTGGATTAAAATAATATCGTAGATTTTTTTAATTACATAATTTATCTATCTTCTCTTTATTGATGCCATTTATATTTATTGAGGTTATATGGTAGCTTGATCCCTCCATTTTCATTTTATCAAGGTGGCTGTATATGTCATCTTTGGCAGTAATCTAATTAATTAGAAAAGTAATGTTTCTAGTCAAAGTCTTTAATAACTGACAATTAAATTATTTGGTCTCGGTGTGTTGGAGTTGCTATCCTCTTACATTTTAGTATACGTTTCCATTTTATCACTCATATTTCCCATTGTGCAAGTCACCATTTCTGTTTCTTGTCTATTTTCTAGTTCCTGTTCGCTATCATTGTCATTGTCTGTGTCATTTTCCATTTCCTATTCGTTGTCACTATCATGTCTGTACTTTTATCCGTGTCATTGTATTTGTCTTTGTCCGTCATTGTATCCTCTTCCCTGTCCGGGTCCCTTGTCTCCGAATCAGTTCCCCTTCTTTGTTTACCTTTTTCTATAAAGAATTTCCATCTTTATTCATTTTTGGGAATGATTTTTCCCCCTTCTCTATATCTCCGGCCACGCTGATACTTCCTGAGGATAAGGACAGAAGTCACATCTTCCTCTTCGCCTGAATGGCAGTTATGGGGGTAATTGCTTGGAGGTTAGGGGATTCACCCCACTTTCCACCAAGTCCTTTGGACTTCCAGTAGAGGAGTCGATTTCTTCGTCCTCTTCTGCTAGTGGAAATAATTTGTTTGATTCTAAAATTCTTTCGTGAAAATGTTTGTTTTTGGTCGTGTAATGTGTTGGGGTTTTGAAGGGACTCGCGTGCTTTTCCCAGCCTTGATTTTGAGCGGGATCATCTACTGAGTCTCCTGATTTCTTGAATTTTCCTGGGTTTGTGTTACATCTGAGGGCGCTTCTGTCTGGTTAGTTGCCTTATCTTCCTCTCTTACTTGTTCTAATAAAAGATCCACAGCAATGTGGATTTCTTTCATTTCTTTTTCATTTAGGCTTTTATTTTTATTCCCAGTTCCTCGAACCACGTTGCTGGCTTAAGTGGCACCAGTGTATGTTGACTCAGAAAGAAAATCTGGGCACTCTGGCTGCGTGTCCCACATTTCTACATTTGGGACATTTCCTATCCTTTTCGCAGCCAAAATACCACATTTTCAGTATAACAAAAACATTACACATACAAGCAGTTCTGATACAAATAAGTCAATGGGCCTTGCTTCTATTTCACGCACGATTGGAGGGATTTTGTAAACTCTTGCCCTTTCTCCTCTTACATCTAAATAATCTGTCAATTAGAGGCGTCTGAAAATCTTTGGGATATAAAACGAAACTTGTTATATCCGGCACTTTGAATGCCATCAATTTTGGAAATCTCATGCCCCTGCATCTTTAGTGCTATGAGGATATCAGCTGGTCTTGGGTCGTTTTCGATGACCCCGAAATCTAATGTCTGACATCCTTCTGGGTGGTGAGCTTTCAGAAAGCTATCCAACAAGTATTGTCTATCTCCGTTTTGAAATAGGTGTTTAATCTATTACTTTGATTGTTATCTTCTACAGTGTTTAATTGTGCTTGAGTCAATTGTGATGTATATAGTGAATACAACCCACCTTTGGTTTGGAACCAATTGTGATAGTTTGGGTCGCACACCACTAAATGTCATGACCTGGCTGTAAAGTCAAAATAGTATATGCAGAAAAATGCTGAACAATGTTCATACCTGTGCCCGAACTATGGAAAAGAAAAACAAAAATAAACAAATAAAAAAGTGAAGTTGAAAAGTGGTAAATACAGAAAAAATGAATTCAAATTTACAAAAAAGAAAAAGACTCGAGGTACAAAAAAAAACTTCAGTCTACACAGTGGGGAAAAAAAGGAAAATAAAATGTCTACAAATTAAAATGGAAAAAAATAGTGAATGAATGTTTTTCAGATACTTCTCTTCCAAATCAACCGCTACATCTATGCTTTGTCCTGGCCATTTTCAGATTTTTCAATGCTCAAATACGAATTTGCTTATTCAACGACAAAATATACCATCTGGCGATTGGGGGAGGGAGAGGTCGACAGCCTTTTGGAGTGTTTAATTTTAAACATACAATCATGGATTTGGAGTGGAGAAATTAAACGGGCCACGAAAGGAAGCCATAAAATTGGATACACGTTGCACTAGAGTATGTTACCTATACAAATCTCTCGTTCGTACTGACCAAACCATCTTTACAGTGCATTGTTACATGATAATCCGCTTATGTTGACATCTGGCCTGAGTACTCCATGCAGTGATACACTCAATCGTGCTACCGGACTATGCTTACAATCGACCGACCTCTGAAGACGCGACCAGAAACAACTACAATTAATTAAACAACGGCTAATCCTTCGGGGTTTTTTTTAATATACCAATAAAATAATTTAGTTGAAACTTCAGAGAAAACTGATTACCTCAAGCACCGGTTGCTGTGTATAAATACAAAAACCAAATGGAAAAAAAATCTCTCAGAATTATATACTGTCAAAAGTGCAACTTTATCATGGATAAACATAAGTTAGATGTTGTGTGTTCATTGTCTCATCTTAAGAGTAAGTTAACAAAATTAACAGTATTTTGGATTTAGTGCAAGTTCAACAGACAAAACAGTCTTTTCACAGACCAAATTGGGAGATTGAATCCGAAAATACGCAAATTGGGACCTACCATAGCAGTATTTGCGGCATATTTAAGCATTGTTAACTAGATATTCGCCAATTTTCGTGTGCAATACACGTGAAAGTCTCAAAGGACACGCCATTTCACCCAGTGGAGTGCATTATCCCCACCCTCACTCCCCAAAAATGTGCTCCATTTGATAGCCTGGTCAGCTGTGCCGAAGCTGCACAATAAAGTTTAGACTCAAGCCTCTTCGACATACTTCAAAGAAACTGCCTGTTCCACAGTGAGCAAAAGCACTAGCAACTGATGGACAAATAGACAATGTCCATTTTTATATTATAACTAACAATGCCTAAGAATGGATGTGAATTTAAATTAAGAGTTTTAATGTGGTCTCCGTCATATACATTACAATTTTCCCCATTTTATATCCCACCTTTTCTCCTTATTGTTAACTTATAAATGCATACCACGCTGCCAACTAAACATGTTTATTCCGAATTAGTTTCTTGATTGCACATATGCTCCGTGGTACGTTTTTTCATTCCTTCTTTTAATTTAATGATAGCAATTAATGCTTATATATACGGTACAGTAATGCAAGGTGTTGACTCTTGTCATTATACCTCACTTATCTTACATTCCAAAGGCTTTTAGTATTAAAATGTCATTAACTAAAGTTTCTTACAGAACTATTGTTTGGAACATAATATACATAATATAGATTTGCTTTAACATTTGATGTTTCTATTTTTTTTATGGATTTCATTCATTTCAAACTTGTCCTAGATAAACCTATATTCCAAGTCTAATTGAAATCTTATCAGAAATTTGGATTCAAGACTGGTAACAAACAATGGATGATGAATGCACGAAACATGATGGAGGATGAACAAGAAAGGTTTAATAAGCTCACTTTGCCTTTTGGCTATGTTACCTCAAAACGTGGTATTTTATTTTGGTTAACTACATTTTAATGAATGCAGATCTCAAGAGTTCAGATTATTTATGGGGGTAAATTTTGATAGGATTTATTGTCAACATCTCACTCTTAAACCACTGAATCTCTAAAATGTCTCAACCACTCAAGATTCCAGCAAGAGGCATCATGAATAAGGAAATCTCCACAAAATTTTGGTTCTGGCCAAATTCCACATGTTAATTGTTTTACATTTCTTTTAAACAGTGGCACATTTTGCTTATACTACGTAATTTTGAATGTGGTTAAATTTTCAAAAAGTCACAAAAATCTCCCATTATGTGGTAGATGGCCAAGAAAAAGTTCTCAAATTCACAAAGAACCTGGACTTGTACAGTAATTACCATCTTTTGGAAACACAACAGAAATTACACAACATGTAGTTCTAATATTTAATCCTTCTGTACAATCCAAAGAAAACTCAAGTATTTTCCAGCATTTAATCTTTACGTACAGTCCAAGGAAATGTCTAGTAATTCCAACCTTTAACTTTTTGTACAGTCCAAAGAAATGTCCTGCAGATTTAATATGTAATCCTTATGTACAGTTCAGGGGAATATCTAGCAATTTCAACTTTATAATCCATAGAAATACCCAGAAATTACAATATTCAATTCCAATATAGAGTCCAAATAAATGTCAAGCAATTCCAATACTAAATTCTAAAGTAAAAATCCTGACAAATGTTGGGCAACTCCAACAATTAATCTTTATATACAGTCCATAGAAATATAAAACATAATGAAATGTCAAGTGATTCCAACATTTAATTTTTATGTACAGTTCAAAGAATTATACGATAGACTGCATAGTACATACATCTAAATTAAAATACTGATATAGAGTAAAACATTGTAAACATAAAAGAACATATATATATATATATATATATATATATATATATATATATATATATATATATATATATATATATATATATATATATATATATATATA